GAATTTGAAATAGTATCTTTTTAAAGTTCCATTTGTATAGCACAGTATCATTCAAAAGCAGCTTTCTACAGTATTTCTACCTCTTGCTAACCAAACAAAAAAACAACAGTGGAAAAGGAACATTTTATTGATAACTGAAATAATTTCAGCAATTCAGTAAAGGGTTTTGGTTTTGTAAGGGACAACTTAGACTAAATAGCCATAACATTATGACCACCTACCTAATACTGTGTACATAGAGTCAGTGCAGAAGTTGGTTGGCACTCGTGTCACTCTGCAGCTCACTGTGCATCTTCTCTGAATCAGTTTGCTTTTATAGTTACACTGTCAGGAAGAGCACAGATGTGTTGACCACTCAGTGAAAAACTTATGTGAAAGGAGTGAAAGCTGTGGTCGTGAGGACAAGTTAAAGAATGTTTAGACACATTCAACAGCCTTCTCACTCTAGGTGTGATATATCACCACTATAGCTGCTGAATGTTTCTCTTCACAGAGACCAAAGTACAGCATTTCTTAAGTTCAATCATTTTAAACAAAGGTTCAAACAAAACGGAGCCTTTTGAAAAGGACGGATAAAAAGTAGGTCAGCCTCATCATCAGTGAGCCTTAGGCGCACCGGTTTACTGTTTGTCCTTCCTTAGACGCTGTCGGTCGGTACTAACCACTGCAAGTCGGGAACACCCAACATGACCTGCAGTGTGGGAGACGCTCTGACCCAGTTCTCAGCCATCACAGTTTGGGCCTTGTCAGAGTCACTCAGATCCTTATGTTTGACCATTTTTCCTGCTTCCATCACATCAACTTTGAGGACTGAATGTTCATTTGTTGTCTAATATACCCCACACACTGACAGGTGCCACTGTAACAGATAATCACTGTTACTCACTTCGCCTGTCAGTGGTTATGATGTTATGGCTGATCAGTGTATATACCTTGCAAACCAACTAAATCAGAGAGATATTTCTGAAACTTCTGTTTCTTCATCTTTGTTGCCCTGGCTTTTGTTTCACTCCCTGACCTTTCTTCTCTTTTTGGGTTCTGATGTTTCAGCTCCCTCCTGGAATGGTCAGACTGCTCCTTCAGGGAATTCCTCCCGCAGAGAGGAATAATGCTCAGGACCGCTCTCTGTCCTGCACAGCGGTCTGTGTATGTGTATGTATGTGTGTACTACAGCGCAGGCCCTTTGATGGCAAAAGAGGAGGATGTGTTTATATGTATAGGAGAGGAGACACTTTGTGAAATTCGTCTGTAAAAACTTTCTCAGATGACTGAAGTCTGGAGAAAATAACAAACAGCATTGCTCTGGTATGACAGATGTCTCCTCTTGATAAATACTTTAGAAACTCCCTGGTTACTCTAGCATACTGTGGCATTATGTAATGTTTACAGTTTTAACAATATTCCACTGTGTTGTCAACAAACGTATTAAATGAAACAATGTCTTCCTAAGTGATGATATTGGTCAATTAAAAAAAAAAAAAAGCTGCAGATCAAAAGATCCATAAACAAACCATTCACTGATGAATGCAGCCTGGTTTGTTTGAAAGCTACAGAAGGAAATCTAACAAGTGATCCTTGAGTTGGGATTGCTGAACTACTGTTTCCAAAGTCAAGACATGGTGGCTTAGTTTAATTAGCCCTAAAAGCTTTGGATGAAATCAAAACAGCCGCAAAGCTCACATAGCTGAGCAAATGCCTTTAAAGGAAGACAGTGTTATTTGACTGAAAGCTCTGAATAAGGGTAGTAGCTTAGGTTTTGCCAAATCATGGAAAAGAGGGACAAATTATAAACTCAAAAAACATTTCTATAATTGTACAAATTGCATTTGTATAGGTTCTTAATTCTCCGTGGGGAATAGAAAGTAGTGATGTGCAGATCGATGCTGAAATACAGATAATCCAACCGTAACGTTTCCTGTTTTAGGACCGATTCTCATATTAAAAGATTAATATCTAGACTTGGTAATTTCGGGTAGCCCGAATGCTATGAGATACAAGAAAGCACTGTTTGCCAATATGGCATGTGAAAGCCACCTGAGTATGTAGGATGGACGTAGTCTCACGGCTAACAGTTCAAAATCTTGGCTATAGAAACATCCCTTCTCAGCAAAGTGAGCAGGGTGGCACAATCTGTTGTTAATAAAAGAAGAAATGTGCCTAATATCTCCTCTTCCTCTCCTCTTATGTTTTCAGGCTGTCTGTCCATCTGTACGATTCTTGTCAATGCGAGGAACAACTTGAGGGAATTTCTTCAAACTTGGTATAGGTGTCCACCGGACAAGTGGCCATGTCACTTTGTGGATGCAAATTATGGGAGATGGACCTTAACTGAGTTTGACTACAGCGTCTTCCAGCAAGGCTCAGCAAAAGAAACAGAACGGGTTCAGTGGTCTGTGATAAGAACTTTTCTTCATGTTTCTTCTAATTATGTGCATATCAGGGTCTATGGGAGAGTGGAGGATGGACACAAGTCATGCTTCAACAATCCGAAGGGAGCTCCTTGAAAAAGACTCGTTAAAAAACAAAACATTTTAATCTGATCTAACTGAAAGCAGTCAGGTGAAGATTGAACAGTTGTGATGGTGCAGGGCTATAACAGAGAAGGAGAGAATAGTCCTCTGGATTCAAAATAATGAGCAAGCTTTTTTTAGACTTGTCTTTAAGGTCTAAGTCCACTTGTTTTTACCACAGTTACCAAACTTACACACTGTCATACTGTTCCACGAGTTTGCCTAGCCCCAGTAGCCACAGGCTCCCATTGTTTTCAGAAATCCTTTTAAAGCTGTTCACAAGGCAGTACTGCTCTGGTGATGTAATACATTAGGTTCAATAGTGTGTGTGTGTGTGTGTGTGTGTGTGTGTGTGTGTGTTGCAGTTTGTACAAAGAGGCCCAAACACTTTTTCTATTAATATGTACCACTACATTCTTATAGTGAGAACAACAAATCACCATCAGTTTTTGTGAGCAAGATCCCCATTACATTTAAATTTCTGAGTTTCTTTTACTCTTTAAGTGACTTCTAATTGTGTTAAACTCAGAACAAGATGCATTTTTCTGAAACCTGAAAGACCTAAAAGTTGAAACTAAGCTATAAACAAATCATCTTCAGTTTTGTGACAGGATGACTGTGATCCCAAGAGAATTTCAGTTGCTGCTCTAATTTACCTGGTAAAAATATTGATGTAAAGTATTGATAAGAGCTTGTTTTTAAAGCAGGAATAAAAAAAATCAACTTTTCTGTTAGCATATGGGTTATCTATACTAATCTATAACAACTCCTGTTACTCAGGGGCAGAGCTAGAAAACTTTGGACAGGGTGGCCAGGCTGAGGAACAGACTCAGAGAGGGGTGGCACATTTGAAATACATGTACAAAATAATTTAAATAAGTAAGAATTAATAAACCATATTTTATTGTTTATTTTATTTTATTTCATGAGTTCTGCCAAACTAGGTGGTATATTCCTCCTGTACCAGCAGTTATAATGGCTGACCAATTCTTTTTATTTAACTGTTGTGTAATTGTCAGTTTGAATTCATAGTCAAACACATTCTGCTATTCTTTACTTCAAACCAAAGTACAGCCTCACAAAGCCTTTGGCATGGCTATAGTTTTGTTAATGTAGACTTTTATGCAACCTTTCCCTCCTGTGCTGGGCTGTATTACCAATTTCAGTGCAGTTATTTCAGTTAAATTGTTTAAAATGAACTATGTAAGGCTCAATCTGTTCCGCTTTAGAGTAGTCTACCGCGGCACACACTTCATTTGTCGTTTAGTATCTCTGCTCAGTGGTCAACTTGTGATGCAGACCTTTGCTACACCTGGTTTCTATGGTTACACTTTGCACACCGCTGCTCTTGTCAGTCCTCTGGAGTACTACACATGCATCACCTTTCAAGCTGAGAGAGAGATCAGGCAAGGTGAGACCATTAAAAGAAAAAAGAAAAAAGAACACGAGGAGTTCATATAGCTGAATGAAAACGCTGTGCCTCCGGTATCAGCTGCCAGATGTCCTCTGCCTTCACCTTCTCCTCCTCATTAGTTGACAGCACTTAAATTATCATGCCAACATGTTATTTATGAATAGGAGGAACAACCAGAGTACAGTGCTCTGAATTTAAACTACAGATTAAGGCACACAGGCATTCATTTGAGCTCCTGACCTCTGGGGTGCACAAGTCACTGTCTCAGCAGTAGGGTAGCCGTTTCCCATGGAGTCAACCTCTCTGTTTTCCACAAGGTCAAGTTTGCTGTGACAGCTTTAAAGGAAACTGCATTCCTGGTTAAGAGGTTGTGGAAGAAAGAATCTCTTAGCCCACAGTTTCAAAGACATGGGAAAACATATATTATTAATATAAATGCAAACCCAGGAAACGATTTTGTTGTATGTTTGTACACATTGTGGGTAATGACCTACAGACAAACAATAAATTTTCCATGGAAAATGTGTGCTTGGCTCTAATTTCCCTCCATGAATATAGATGTTCACAGTCTGACGGAACCCGATCTAATTTTGCTGCAGGTGTGCGTGTGTCATTCCGTGTACATGAGCTGGGTGACAGATACAAGAGACGATCCGCGGACACGTGTGACATGAAAACGCGTTAACGCTGATGACCTAGAAATGGAGCGTGCGTATCCTGTGTGCGTAAGCGACCGTGGGTTTGGTGGCATATGGCCCAGGCAGCTGTTTACGTTGTTGATTGCGTGTTTTTTAGAAAGACGCTGCAATTGGATAATCTCTCTTAAAGGCCCGCGAGAATGATATTTTTGGAAGAAACCACTGAATAGATGAAGTAGTCGCGTGGCGTCACCTATGTGCTATCCTCGCCATCACTCACTGCTTCATTGTCTCCAAAGCACCGACGATGAATTCATAAACATCAATATACCCCCGTCATCACCGTGTGAGATGACAGCTCCACGTTCCCATCATGTCGCAGCAGACACGACCTGCTTATATCAATCTAGCGTTTGCCACCGTCCCCATATTATTAAAAAGGCGCGTGCCAAGTAGGGGTCTCTCGTGCCCCTGCCTGCGCGCTCTGGCTTCGAAACACACGACGATCATTTAACTGGAGTCACCGTGCGTGGGGTACGGTAGGCGGAACCCGCACGCTCTTCACATCCCACTTTTGAGAAGATTACGAGGACAATTTACTGCGAAACATATGACGTTAACGCCGTTTGCGGGGAAGACGGACGGACGTAGTGGGACACAGGCAGGACGAGACGCCGCGGGTGTAGACAGAGGCAAGATTTGCGTGGAGATATTTGGAGTTGGAAGAGGACATTGGTAGTTCTCTGGTAAGGCTCTGAAAGGCTCCTGTGCGTTATAACCTTCACGTGTAGCCATTAAGACACATTCTACTTTGAGGGTCTTTTTTGACAGACATGGAGATGTAACCCTGTTAGAATTCACACTCTTTGTTCATGTATGTGCAACATCAGTCAACCTGCTTGACAAGTCCGTGTGTAACATTTACAAAACAGCTAAGTGGAAAGTAAAAGCCAAGTCGACATATCGTTTCATTAAAGGTATATACAAGGTCTGTTCTGTACAGAGAGGTGACATTACAGACGTGCTGCACGGGTCTTGGGTGCCTTTGGACTAAACACTCTTGCTGTTAGTCCTTTTTTTCTGGGGCTTATCTGAGAATCTGTACAAATTATTTGGCACTCTGGATAAATGCTTACTCTGTATGAGATAGCTGAGTTAATCCTCTGGTTAAAATAGTTACCCCAGTGTCCACTTACTACTGCGATCAAGTGGAATGACACAAGGCTTAAGCTGCCAGAAGCTCCTGACTCTTCTCGCTGAACAGCTGCGGCCTGATGTGGTTTTTCATTTCATTTTTTAAAGATCGTCGCTGTAGGCTTTAAGCCCAAGCAAACTCCCCACCTGACTTTACTTTTTTTTTTTAACCTCTGCGTGTATGGCACTAGAAGACAAGGCCTGACATTGTTTCAGTAACAGGCTGCATGTTAAAGGCATTCAGTGACCAGGTTGCGTCCGTGCTTGGATTTTGCTTAATATTTGGATCATCTGTCATATTTTTTTAGTCGCGCAGCTTACACCACATCACATTTGGCTACAGGTGCCAGCTGCTCGTCATGTTTAGTGATCCTGCCTAGTCTGAGAGACACACTGTACACAGGCTGCTGGTGGGATGCCTGGTTTGATTAGGAAGGGGGGGCAACGCAGCTCTTAAATCACAATATGCCACATATACTATAAATATGCACCCATATCTAATGTTATTGGCATTCCATCCAGACAGACTAGGTGTAAAAAAAAAAAAAAAAAAAACAACCCAAAGACTGCATGGCTCCGGGAGTCACCTGCCTCAGGCAAAGTCCTCAGCCATTCGCTCTCCACAGTGAGTCACATCACGGGCTTGTAAGCAGCAGGTGAGAGTGTGACTGCTGGTCTTGACTGACTAGCGAATCTCAAACTAGGTTCACAGTCAGTGATAAGAAATCACTGGATGTTCTTGGCCTTCATCAGTGTCACAGACTGGAGCAAATGAGATGATGTCTGGCCTTTGTGGAATCCTCTCTCTAGCATGTCATGGGCCCTTGTGTTACCTCTCTCCTGCCCCATCCCACAACTAAATCACAGCGTGAACAGACTGATCCTGCCTCAGCCAGCATTGTGCGTGCTGAACCTATGATCTGGCATGTGATCAAACCCTTTATTGGGATTTTAGACTGTATTTATATATAAATATACTGTATATGACAGAGAAAGCATGTATGCGTGCAGTGCTTGTACACAGCTGAATACTGGAATCAAGACTGTGTAGATTTACAGTAAATGTTATTGCCTCTCAGGGTGATTTCAGAACGTATCTTTTGATAAGAGAAGTGCCATGCGACAAAGGCCACCCCCCTCATTCACAGCAATAACTGGTTTTCTATTACTACAGACAAAAATGACTAAGGCTCATTCAGTCTGGAGCCCTCACATCTAGCTAACTGAAAAGCAGCCATGTAGTCTTCAGGGTTCTTTCCTTCTCTATCCCGTTCAATTTGACCAAGGCTCTGTGTTCATGTGAAATACATTCTTATCCCGCAGCAGTGTTGCTTTACCTTTGCTGGACTGAAAAGAAAACATGAAGGGATTGTTCAGTCTAGTGCAATGTATAGTAGATCACTGGGAGAATAAAGAGCACCCTGCTGCGACTATTTAAAACTATGAAAGGACTGTCTGTCTTTGAGATTTTACTATGATTTGATATGTGTTTATAAAGGTAAACTTAAGCATTTTTCTACTGTATCATGTACTGTAAGTTGATGCCTTGGGCGGTTGAGTACTGAATAAAATATAATAGTGTGAGACATACATATTATAGAGTGCAGACAGTGGGTTTGTATTTAAAAATAGCTTCAGTCTGGGACTTTCTAGACATAAGGTACTCCTTTGTGGCCCAGCAGGTGCATATGTTTTTTGCTGGTTATATTTTTTATGTACTTCTACATCTTCTAAGTGCACACACTATCTGATGACATATTGAGAGCTATCATCGATGAGCCGCAGCTTGTTTAAGGCCATACCACTTAGGATAAATGCTAGCCTGTTGGTTAGATGAGCTCTAACTAGGAGGAAATGATTATAGAGTCCACAATGCATTGTCCAATAATCAGCAGTTGATTTAAGGAGATACTTAAATCCACGCCTAATCGGAACAACTACCTGTGTAATTGAATCTTTATCTTGGTTGAAATTCATGCCCTGTATTAGCTAGGTATAACTTTATGTTATGTATGACCCCTTAATACAAAGCGCTGCACAGCTGGGGCCTCATGTGAATACACATTTGTTGTGATCAGTACAGGAGAAGGGGCTGTAGAAGAGGTCTTTTATAATCATCTACTATGTAATCATAATAAGACGAGACAAAGAGTGACATATGATTTCTTTTTTATACTCCTGACACCCAGGCTGGGAGCCATTTTTTATCTGCCCTCCTCATTAAAATTGACGATGGAGTGTCTCGGTGCTCATAGTTGTTTATTTTGGATTATCAGACATACAGAAACCACACCCTGAATACTTTACTCCTGAGCCTCAACTTGAGCTGTTTTTGCTCATTATCCATCACTGGGCTATTGTCATCAGCACAGTTCTTATAGTTCTATATGAGATTTGACATTGAGGCCTTACACTGATCTGTTTACAGTGCGTTCCTACTGTGCTCAGGAGTTCTCAGTCAGTGGAGTGGGATTTGGAAATTCTTGGTGCTGTGGCATGTGACAGAGTCAGCAGTGCAGCATCCACCATGGTGATCACACGCTGTGCGAGTTGTACTTCCAGCTGAACACAATCGCCCCGTGATGCACTCTCTTTCTTTTATTCTTCCCCCATGTGATGAGGAGGAGACAGCAGAGAGACTGATGGAAAATGCCAGGGGAGGGTGATACTTTGTTTTGGGGCACACTATTGAGTGATGTTCAGAGAATCAGGGCACTGAACAGCATGATGGTGAGGGTGGATGGATGAGCAGTTAGCTGATTATATTCTGTCCTATTGATCAAACTAATATTCACCTACAGTTTCCTCATACAGGCTCTCCTTGACCGTCCCCAGACAGTCAGCTTCTGGAGCCCCAGTGCAAACCCCAGTTGACTAACTGGAGGAGACAAAAATTACATGAAGTCTTTTACAGTATATCAACTAAAACCTGTTAGCTAAGCAGTTAGAGCAGCAATGATTAGTTGATTAATAGATTATAATCCTGACACCCAGGCTGGGTGTCACGGGTGGCTGTAGCACAGGAGGTGGAGTAGGTTGTCCCCTAACTGTAGGGTTGGTGGTTTGATCCCCAGCTTCTCCAGTCCACATGTCAAAGTGTGCTTGAGCAAGACACTGAACCCCTAGTTGTGACTGTAGGTGCTTTTTAAACGTACTGTATTTAGTGGCGTACTGGTGAAGTGACGTGAGTGAGTGTGCTGCAAGAGTGGTTTGAGTTTGTGTTTGAACCTGACCGATATATCAGCCAGACTGATCTTAGTTGATTATAGTTGCTAGGGAGCAAGCTGCAAACTTTTAGATGATACATTTTTGGTGGTGTGTACTCTTAAAGGTGCAGCAATTGATTTTTAGCCACAAGAGGGCAGAAAGACATCGAAGCAAACTGACAGATCCACAGCCACTGTACATCTACTGTATATATTTGTATATATACAATAGGTGATCCACCTTCCAGGAGGAACTTGCAGGAGCGACTTTACTGAGTTTCTCAGCTCTGATGGCATGTTGCTAATTCAAGCCTACCCTGCTGAGATCGTCTTCTCTTCTTGTGTCACTTTATCAGTACAGTTTGGAATATTGTGTGTAATAATACCTTTTCTTTTTTAATGAAGTGTGATGTATCAAACATAAGTGTATATTGGTCTGTATATCAGACCACCTGTTCAGTATTTTTGTGTATCGGCAAAAAATGTTTGATTATAAACAATTCTGGAAAGACAAACGTTGCCTATCCACTAGAAGATCTGTTTCACTTATCTAATCAGGCACACTTACTAAACAGGCTCATACCTTTGCAACCACCACACAGAGTGACTGGAGATGGTTGGGTGTTTGAAGGCTGCACACAGACACACACACACGGGAGCATAATCAGCATAAGATGACCAGGAATAAAACAGCTTTATCTGTGTATTTAGAGTTTTTCTATTTCTTCCAAGATGTTTGTGTTAACTCTCTGGTCTCAGTGTCTTTAGTGTCACTTTTCATCTGGCAAGATACTCCAAGTGAAACTGAATTTGATATTTCATTCAGGAAAAACATCTGGCTTGCAGCCAAAAAGGAATCAGCATATGGCTTTGGTTGCTTCAGTGAAACGCCGGCCAGCCAGACTTGTTCAAATGTTTGTACACATCATTCAACATCAACAGACCATTATCTGAAATGTGAGCAGTGTTATGTGATGAATTTACATTTGTGTACAGTAGTTATATTACAAACATCTTATTTAGAAGAGTGTACACATTGTGTTTCTGCTCACCTCACTCCTCGCAGCCTTTGTCACCGGGCAGTGACAGCACTCTGAGAACAGGCCAAATCTGATTTATTCTGAAGAATAATAACTGTTACCATTAATCATGCTGGCCACTACTTCTACTCTTTACTTTTTAAATTCAGATATAATGAATGGAACACATGTGGTATGTGTAAGTACTGCATGTGTTCTGTTTATTGATGTTATGGTAGCCCCCCTCACCAGGAGGGTGAGGGAGGACTGAGGTTGGACTCAAGTTTGCAGACCCAGGTGCTAGGGGGAAAAACATGACGGTAACAG